ATCGGACTTGCACGTTATCGTCGACGAGCATCTAGAATACGTGGCAGGTAACCCTACAAACGAAGCTTTAGTTTGATCTTAGCAGACAATGTTTCCCTTTAAAATCGATTAAACCGGATGTGTTCTTAACGCGCGCGCTCGTGCCGAGAACGTTGCCGAGGGTAAACATCAGAATTCATTTATACGATCGATAATACATCTTGCTCCACATTCGTCAAGGTTTTAACCATGTATGTACACCGGCGCCGCCATAAAAATGCTAATTCCCTCTATTGTGCGACGTTACTTTTGCTTCCTCCTCGAGCCATCTCGCCGATAAGAATTCACTATTCATACGAGGCATTGGTTGGCGTCGACGTTTCTATTGATACAAACTGGCAAACAAGTAACCGAACGGAGCGACGGCCGCTCGCGGTTCTCTATTTATCTCCTCCAGTTTCATCGATAATTTCTCGAACGTGAATTGACAAATGGGTTCATGCAAATAATATCTCGAGTTTTCTTCCGCGATGGAGAGAGAGGAGCTTCCCAGGCTTTGATGGAAGGAGAGCAGGGAACACGATGGAGTACGATCGATGGGAAGTGGATCTTCGTAGACGGCATATTCTGAATACGAATGTCAGGCTGTCCTTGTCTTTAGATTCACCGATATGAATCGATTATCTAGAAGATAAATAACATTGATGTACACCAGAATCTGTATTTCGCGAATGAAACGTTATTTTTTCCTTTTGTTTCTTCTCTGAAATTTCTGCATTATCTTTCTATGTCGTGTTGTTTTTTTTTCTTTTTTTCTCTCTCTCTCTCTCTCTCTCAAATGAATTATGATGCTTCTAGAACAACAGTAGATAAAACATTAAAATTATACTTCGCTTAAAGGTGAATCATAATTAAATAAGTTTTAGACGTTTAGAAACTCTCAGGATGGGAGTTCCGAAGACCAACAATTCTTTGCAAAGAGTCGTAGAATTAAATAAACGCTGGATAAAAGATCTTAAGTAAGCTAAGAAGTAAATGAGAAATTAATCATAGAATTATTACATAAAAAAACTGACGAAGATCCCAAAAAGATCGAGAATTTTTGGAGTACTGGTAGATTAAATCGATTAATTTCTTTTCTGGAACATCAGGTGGTTGACTAGATTTACCGTTGAAAAGTATTGCAAGGACCTAGTGATGTAAGGAGGTCGATGACTGTATTCTTTATAGGGTTGTCAGAATGGGATTCCGCAGCAGGACAGACGGCGCCAAGCTCTGTCTCCTTGCCATTAGGGAGAAGCCTACATACTATGTCCAACATGGACGCACCCTCCCTTCGTCGCTCGTAGAGGGAGATCTCACACAGACGCTGTTTTAACGCTTAGCACGTGACTGCATGCGCACAAAACGACATGGATCGTCCACGAATTAAGTTGTTTTTCGAAACTCCCGATCGGGGTTACGTCCTTGGACGCCCGCTGCTCCCGTTAGCCCGGGGTGCGCCCCAGATTTTCATCGATAGCACTGTTTATTTTTAGGTTTCCACGATATTGGAGATGGTCTGCGCGTCAGCAACTATTTCGTCTTCAGCTTGGGGGTAACTCCGTCGACCTTCGTCGCTTTATGAGCCTACTAAATTCGATGGTATCGCTCTACCTCGTATTCTTGCGTATAAACATCCATAGAATTTCGTCGTGTAGTCTAATTTCGTGATTCTCTCGGATGTGTGACGTTAGCATCTCGTTTTCTGTGTTTCTTCGTCGAAACGATGAGAACACGTGGCGCTCAACGCGATTTGAATTTCGCGTCAACTGGAGCGCCACACTGCGCGCATGCGCAGTCCAGTTGTCAGCGTGACATTTCGCGAAGAAATATAACAAAGCAAATTCGATATTCGTGAATGAATGATGTGGAAAAATGGTAGAGTGGGAGATAGAGGGATTGGTAAATGTCTCGGGAAGCATGTGAGAAATTTACATCGCGTTATTTTTAACTCTAGTTGACATGAGTATGAGGTTAGAATATGGTTGATAGAGGTGATTCATACATTAGCTTTGATTGTAATCGGAAATTCGTTTGTTTCAGCTGAATGAGGCTCATGGAACCGTTGGGTGTTGCCCCGGACATGGTGGAGACGGGCGCATTGAAAAAATGGTCCGACTTCCCTGTCCAGCACCGATTCACAGACTACTCCAATTCCATTGGAGAGCCTACGCATCATACAATAAGTCCATTTCCTTGTCAACCAGCGATCAACAACAAACTTGCTCTATGGTAAAGTTCTGATTGTGTATATAAAATGATGATAAAGAAGTTTCATTCATCTAAGGAGATTTGTAATTGATACGATGTTTCAGGACTGGGGATATCTCTGTTTTGCAAGTGGATGCAGTAGTAAACTCTACCAATGAAACAATGGATGATAACAGTCCTATGTGCCAAAGAATATTTGCTCGAGCTGGTTCAGCACTCAAGATGGAAATATTTAATGAAATTAAAGGTATGCGCGTATAGTTTATAAAGTAAGAATAGTTAGGTCGATTGGATAGTATGTAATGTGACTAACTATGTTTACAGAGTGCAAAACTGGTGAAGTAAGAGTCACACAAGCTCATGGATTACCTGCACGCTTTATTATTCATACTGTTGGACCAGTATACAATGTGAAGTACCAAACAGCAGCTCAAAATACATTGCACTGCTGCTATAGGTAAATTCTATCAATATACGAATTATTCGTGGATAAAAGATATACAATTTACTTATCTTTTTTACTAGAAACGTTTTACAAAAAGCACGAGAGCTTGGTTTACGCACGGTCGCACTACCGGTAATCAATTCTGTGCGAAGAAATTATCCTCCTGATGCAGGAGCGCATATTGCACTTAGTAAGATTACATTGTTTAAATTAATATAAAATTCTAAGCTCGATGAGTGTGAATTCGTGATACCTAATTTCATACAAATACTCTCTTGCAATAGGAACAATAAGAAGATTTTTGGAGCAATATGGTGATTCTGTTACATGTATTGTGTTTGTGTTGGAGCCATGTGATCTTGGAATATACGAAGTTCTTCTTCCACTCTATTTCCCGAGAAATTTAGCAGAGCAGGATAACGCTTGTTGGCAGTTACCAAACGATATAGGTGGAATGGATGGGGAACCTTTACTTCCTGATCGACAAATTAGAATCATCGACAATCCTCAACATGCTTTACATGGTAATAATATAAGTCAGTATTAAAAATGTATATATTGATTCAGTTATTCATTCAATGTTCTATATTTGCTTGTTACAGGCGATGAAAGTGTAGAACTGTCTGCGCAATTAGAGACATCCGTAAATATTGGTGAACACGCGTTTGCACAAATGCAGGGTGATCTAGATCGACAGAGACTTCTCGGCGAAAGACCACCAGCCGATCCACTAGCGGATATCATGCTAAAACAAATGCAACAGAAAGAAAGGTACTTTAAAGAATATTTTAAAAATATTTTCACACGAATGTCTTTCAGTCGGTTTACTTTATTGGACGAAAATTGTTGCAGAATTTATCAATTTATATTATCGCGATTGATATAAACTATATTATTCGGTTATTCAAATAGGTGTTTTCATGTTTTTCAAAAGACTGATAAGCATCATATTTTGCAATGTCATGAATATAATTTTATGTGAAATGTCATTTTTAACTATTTAGCTGTTATTTTATATGCAAATATGTAATTTGATTCGCAAAGATCTTCATTTATTAATATTTGCATATATATCGTGAGTCGATAAGGAAGGAAATGGAATCATACTATTCCTACATTTTTCTTAAAACCTAATTGATTCTGATAAAAATCTTCAATGTTTTGAAGAACGATTTTCGCATCATTTAATTTTTTATCTACTTTTTCTAAAATTACGATAAGATACGCATTTCAAGAAATGCACTTACCAAACGCAGGTTTCTTTAATACCAACTTTCGCTACATAAATGTTTCATACGATGAGCATTCACTGATGAAACAAATCAATATTTTCATAGCAGTATTACTTGCTTACGTGGACTACATAATAATTTCATTAAAATATTTCTTTAAATAATATATTATTCAGCCCATTAATTATTCTACTCGATGCATAATATCACTTTATTACAATACAGCATTATCAATATTATACGTACATATTGATATTTCTACTTTTCTCGAAGCGATCTCATATCATTTATTATACAATCGTAATAATTGAAAGGTAGGCATTGATTTTCTGTCGGTCAAGTTCTTCCCTATTCATTATCAAAGAAAAAATTATCCACCTTTATATAGACGGCTGCTGTCAATATCACCGAAGGAAATGGCCTCGTAACCTTTTCGTCTGTACAAGCTTGTATGCCTAGAAATAGCCGAGTCAGCTATAAAAATATTCGATTATCAAACCGTTTGAGAGACACGAATTATCATTACATTTTACATTCAACTTGATTACACAGCACTATAATCTCTGCACGTACGCGTCATCAAAATAAATCATACGATGAATCATTACGACAAGATTAAACAAGATAAGTTTAAAAAAAAAAAAATCTCCGAAGAAACGTAACATTTCGTCATGATACAATTTAGCACGAATGATAGAATCAGGTTAAGAATTTGAAGTTTTGTAACTCGGCACGAACAAGTTCGATAGTTTAATTTCAATTTTCTTTAATGATGGAAAAATACATCGTTAACATAGAATGATAGTCTTCTTTCTATTATTCTTGTAGAATTGCTGGGGAGGGCGAATCGGACATACAATCTTGAATTGAAACATTCATACTTTCTTAGAGTTACTGCCACAAAGATGCTCTTTGTTTCTTTTTGCTTTTTTTTTCTACTTTGCTGGACATGTTCTGTTCTCTTTCAAATGAGATAATATAATCTTCCTGATATCGAGATGAAGTAATACTTTCAAAAATACAATAATTTTCTTTCTTGACAATTTTCTTTCTTAGCTGAGATCTTCCGAAAGTCTTTGCTAACAGTTATGAATCTGAATATATAGAATACACACTGTATGTTAATAAACTATTATTCAATATTTGTGGATATATGTAGTCTTCATAGTAAAGGGTTAAGAACTTTACAAGAGATTACATACATGCATTACAGTTTCTATATATGTTCTTAAAATCACATTGTCAATACTTCATTGTCCATTATACGCACATACAACAAATATAAATATAATCAGGACTGTCAAACTAACAATGATCTATTCAAAATTTTATGAAGCGATGCATTTTTAAATATTTGAATGATTTTTCGTAAAATATATAAAAGGCTTGCGTTCTTTATTATGTTGAAGTTGACTTTTTCCTATTCCATGCGTTTTTATTTCTTTTGTTTTATTTCTTTCTTCTTTTTATTTCTTTGATACAAGTTTTATACCG